GGAGGAGAGAGGAGGAGGAGAGAGGAGGAGGAGAGAGGAGGAGGAGAGAGGAGGAGAAGAGGGGACATACCCGCGCTGCCCTGCCCCGCCACGGCGGCGCTCAGGGGCACGATGTGCGTTCCGTTCTGTGTGACAGCTTTGATGGGCAGCTGGTGCTGGCCCAGCGGCGCCTGCTGCACTATGGTAACTGTCTGTAAGGGGGTGGGCTGCGACGTCTGGATGATGCGGCCAGCAGCTCCTATTGCAGCATGGCTAATAGCAGGGAGAGGCTCCACTTTCACTGGAAAACAGCATAGAAAATATGGTTCAAATTACCAAAGTGCTCAGGAAGCCCCTGGTTTCACTCAATCAGCCCTCAGTGTGTTGTTTTACTACTTGCTCCAACATAACTGAGAAATCACCATTCCAAATCTTCAGTTTTAGCCAAACACTTCAAGCAGTGCCCTGCAAGTATTGATGTCCCATCCCTGCCCCTCCCTGAATGAGGCCTGGAGCAACCTGGGATAGAGGAAGGCATCTCTGCCCATGGCAGGGGGTGGAACGAGAAGGGCTTTTAGGTCCTTCCACACCAAACTCCTGTATGGTTCTATGATTCTAAGTTTCAAATACTGACCCCCCTGAATAAAGAAGCGCCAAGACAACCCCACAGTCCTCACCTTTGACTTCCTTGTGGTCTCCATTCTCTTGAGGTTCTACCTTGGGCTGGGTGACCATAGCAGCTTGTGTGACGACCGCCTGTCCTGCGACAGTGTAAGTGTTTGCTGGTGCTAATCCAGTCACGTTGGTGACTGACACAGCTGGGATCTGGTGCACAACATGAACTGTCTGAACTACAGGCTGCTGGGAGGTCGATGTTGTCACGGGAGTTGCAACAGTGTAAGTGACGGGTTTGATAGCTTGTGGTAGCTGCCGTTGTACAGTAATTAAAACTGGCTGGCTAGAGAGAGGTGATCCTACCAAGAAAGAGGTCAAAATTAGACTGTCAATTTTCATTATTTCTTTTAAGCCTTCATTCATTTCGTTTAAACTTCACATTAAAACTTCAGAGAATTAACAAGCCCCTTCACTAACGCCTGAATGAGGCAAAAGGAAATGCTGGACAATAAAGGTTAGGACAAGTGGTTATTCCCAGCTCCAGGCTCAAGGGAAGGGCCCAGCAAGACCCACACACCATTTGGGCACCCCAGCTCTGCTCCCAGACAAGTGGTTAGCACTTATTGAAGTAAAGCCCTTTGCACAGATGGCTGTTGTGTGCAGCATGCCTGAACTGGGAATGCTCTCTGTGTGCTGCACTGGGAATCCTGAGGAATGCTCAGGACCACGTCTGCCCTCTGTAATGGGCACCACCAAGAAACTGGATGGCAAATGTGTATCAAAGGTAATTAAACAAACATATCCTTAGCCCAACATGCCTTATTCTTTTTTTGTTTTGAACAGGAAATTTCTTATCTCTCTTATCCTTCCAATTCTTTCATCCCCCCACCAACTCTGGAAGAATGACATGACCACAGATGTGTGAAAGGCATTTCCTTATTTCTGTAACACACACAACCTTACATTTTGGGGTTTTTTCCAAGAGAACTGTTACAAGACAGCAAAGTCCTACACAGGACAGAGGCACAGCCTCTCCTCAGTGACAACACGACCCCAGGTTCTGGAGCAGCCCCAGGTAACAACAGCCCCGTGTGTTCAAACAGACCCTCCCTGCCTGTTTCTGAGTTCCTCACAGATCTGCTCTGAATGTCAACAGGTGAAATACACTCTCATTTGTGGTGCACATATTAAGTCTTGGCAATATTTTGGTGTCAGCCCCCCAGCCCCAGTGCCGAGCTCAGGGCTCCTCACCTGGGGCACTCTGTGCAAATCGCGCTTCTTGTATGACGGCGAGTTTTGGCTGGATGGCGCTGGGCTCAGGTTCCATCGGGACAGGAGACCCTTCCCTGGACAGGCTCTCGGGGGTCTGGACGCCACTGGAGTGTGCAGACAACACTCCAGAGTGATTAGGAGAAGCTGGGGCACTTCTGTGGTTAGAAATGAAAGCAGCAGCTGATGTGTTTTAACTTCTGAACTGTGAAAGCCCATGACCTTCCTCTAATGAGACCGAAACACACTGCCAGCAGCAGGGGAGGGCACAGCTACAACCCAGAGCTCTGGATCTTTTAAAAAGCTTCTGTTAAAACAGGGACAGAATTTAAAAGCAAACTCCAGGTACAGTTAACGGAGAAGAAGTGGCTGGATGCCTTCTTAGGGAGACTCTAAATCTGTGAAACATGAACATTTCTTCTGGTGGAGAAGAACAATGAGCAAATCTGAGGCTACAAGGCAAGTAGAAAAAGATCTGCACCAGCAGAAAGGCCATAACTTTACAGAGGGAATAATTTAAACCCAGGTATTTCCCCATCACAGATTCTGCTCGAACATTATCAAACTGAATACACAATTGTCATCTCTAAGGTCAATAAAATGGTAGCCAGTATCTGAGAATTTTCTTTGTAAACATTTTAAAAATCCAGTAGATGGCAGTTAGAAATTAAAATTTTAATTCTGCAAAACCCATCAGAGGTAAAGCAAGGCTTGCATACATTAACAATCTGATAGTTAGTTATTGTAACCGAGTTCTTTACTGCTAAAAACAAGCAATAAACACAAGCCTGGTGTATGGGGCAGCCTCCTAATGAAACACACAGAATTCAAACACTGAGTCTGGATGAAATTAAATTACTAAACTTGTGAGTGTATCCGAAGCTATCAAGTCTGTAGCAGCCTGAAGATTAAACAACAGCCATAGTCTTTTTGTTGATCTGGTTTTCCTTACCTAGAAGAGAGTGGTCCCAGAGGGGTTCTAAAGCAAGGTACTCCCCTAGGCCGCCTTTTCCTAAAAGCCTGCTCTATTAATTTGCTTTCAGAGGCAGGGTCTATCCTCCAGAATGAGCCTTTGCCTGGTTCTTCCTGGGAACGTGGTACTTTGATGAAATAACGATTCAGAGAGAGATTGTGACGTATTGAATTCTATGGAACATAAAAAAATATGTAGAATTCATATAACTTTTCCAAGTCAGAATGTGGCCTACTGCAGCAGTTTGTACTATAGGAGACTCGGGGTTCAGCTCTTTAATTCCTTAATTTAACAGAACTCAGAGCACTACCAAGCAGTGCCATCAACCTGAAAGGACTTGCATTTGTCAAATCTTTCCCAACAATTAAAAACCCAGTATGCTAATTGGAAATAACAGGAATCCCATTTATTTCATTCTCTCATGAGAAACACGGTGATTGAAACCAATGTTTAGAACACTACAAATACTTGTGCAGAATGCAGTGTTAAAAACAAAACTAAAAATGATCAATGCTTGTACACAACCCTTCCCCAGGTGTCCCAGCTCCTCCCAGGAGGGCCAGCAGAACACAGCATATACTGATTCTGATCCTATGTGGTAATTCTGTTCCACAGTTCAGAAAGAAAAGGCTAAATTACACAAGTTCCAAAGGCACCTGGATTTTTGTGAATTCATCCACAGTCCAGTTTGTCTCGATAACAACGAAAAGAATTTAATGTGTCAATTAAAACCAAGTGGCAGCAGGTCCTGAACCAGCTCTTCCACATCTTTATCACCACGGTCCCTTTGCACATTCCCACATCCTCAATTTGCTGCAACATTTCCCCCACTCCTCCACCAGAGCAATGCACAGAACTGCTGACACCCTCAAGTGGCTCTATCTGTGCTTGGCCTTGCACACAGAATTTCTTTTAATTTTCTTTTCTTTCATTTTTTAACATAGATAAACCCCCAAATCTCTCTCAATATTATCAGTGAACAAGAAGAGACTGATGCTAAGGATTCACCATGAAACACTTGTGGGGGAACAGAGGTAAATGGGAAAAAGCTTTATGTTAACAAAAGCTCTCAGAATTTTGCAAAGGGAATGTAAAACTTGCTCAAATATCTGAGTTCATGACCCTGATGGTAAGTTTGGAAAACTTAAAGCAGTGATAACCACATATGATTTCTTGAATGCAAACTGATGAAACCGGAGATGGCTTTTTCCCTGCCAAAAATGGAAACATAACTAGAAAGATGCCAAGAACATATTTATAAATTGTATTTATTCCTCCATATGCTAGAATAAAGGAGTAGATCCAAAAGTACCTGCTAAAACAAATCCACAGAGAGGAGTCTTCAAATGCTTATCAAAATGAGACCATTGTATGCTCAAGATATAAATACCTCTGTTTCTTAAGGTATGGGACTGGGACACTCTGCATGTGTTTGTACTCTATGTTTTGAATAAAATGTGCATATATAGCCTCCAACATGATTTGAAACAGCTATCCTAAGTCACCCAAGCTCCAATCCAACTCCTAATGTGTAGAAGCTGGCAGAGCAGTGACTGAGCAGCATTTGATTTTCAGCTTTTCCAATTGTTTCTATGAATAGCTGCTGATTAATGACTCCAGAACACAGTGTCTGCTGTGCCTATCACCTTGGCTTTAGGAAGCATTACACCCCCAAATTCACACCCTGTTCTATGGCAGAGCTCTTTACCTCAGCATAACTCTGTGTGTGTGTGTTGGTTCATGATGCTCACAAAGCAACATCATCTACACAGATACTCAAGGTATGCAAAATAGGAAGCAAAACACACATCAACATTTTATAAACAGAGTCTTGTTGCTAAAACAACATGACTGCAGCCAGGATACTGCACTGTTATGTGGGAAAGGGAAACAAAAGAGACTTCCCAGTCACAACAGCCAAGTCCTTGACTAACCAAACCCTTAGCAAACAGCCAGGAACTGCTACGTTCCCCACTAACCTTGGGAGAGTGAGCCAGCTTTCATTTAGGCCATAAGACAAATAAGTAAGTGATTAATATTTAAAAATCTCTTCCTCTACAGGGAAGGCTAGTATTCTTCACTCTTCAACTTGTGCAGCCAATGCTAACACTTCCTCACTTTCCCCTCACCCAGTGTCTCTCAGTTTGATCTCCCTGACAATACCTGCAGAGTGAGCAGACAGCTCACACTGCACCGTGTGCTCCAGGCATTCCAGACCCTGCAAACTCTGCTCCTGGGCCCCCAGAAACCCAGAACAGCACCAAAGGCACACAGCCTTCATGTGTGTCTGGGAAGGCTCTGCCAGACTGATTTGTACTCTGTTAGTCATCCTGGCAAAAGATGAGGCAGGTCTTGTGAAAATGAGAAGAAAGCAGAAATTAATTCTGCAACTGAAAGGTTTGGTCCAATTCTGTACAGGAATGGGCAAGTTCATGAAAAGTGCATGAGCCAGGGTGAGATAATGACAGATAACACACTTGTTCCTTCACCTTCTGCAAGGGCAGGATCACTGTTTTCAAACAGAACTGAACTTGGAGTATTGAATATCTCAATTTTGTCTCAAGATAGCAACATGGATATTTACACAACTGTAAGTTACAGAACGTGACACCATTCCTAGATAGCATACAGGATTCAAATCCAGTGCCAAACGTACTTTGCTTTCCCCAAAATGTGTCTGCATCCCTACTAGAGGTTTAGAGAACACCATTCCATCAATAAATCAGTATTTCAAATACAGACTAATGTGAATTGCCCACTTTGTCAGAAAACTTACAATCAGAAGAAAGACAACACACTCATTTGACAAATTCTATTTCTGAAGGGTTCCGAGGCTTACCAACTGCCTGCTCATGACCATTTACAGCTGCCACTATTGCTCACATGTACGAAAAAAGAATATTCCAGAAATCAAAATTACCTGCCAGCCCTTGTCTGCTGTCCTGTAGTAGGGATAATTTTTAGTTATGTGCGTATAAATTCCATTTAGTGTAAGCTGCTTATCCGGGGCCATTGTAATTGCTTGGACTATTAACTGTGCATAGGAGTAGGGTGGCTTAGAGTCATCCTGGACAAAAACAAGAAAAGTCTGCATCAACAAACTTTGAAGAGATACACACTGTTTACTAGATCAAAAGTCATAAAACATCATTATCTTGACTCAGGGCATTTTTGGATGATCAAAATCTTGAGGCAGAAAAGAAACTAAGAAAGCTTTGTTCTTCTGATTAGCAATTTTAGGAAAACATAAATTTTGCAGATATGTGTAACAGCAAAGAATTTTCAATAGCCTCCAAACAGATCTATAACTGAGACTGCACACAGACCCATCCCCAAAGGGCATGGGGTCAATCAATCAATCTCACATCTGATCACAAAACCCTACACATTGTTTTTAAAGCCTGGCATGTTAAATTACCACTCAGTGCTTACACCTTAGCAAACAAAACATCCCAAGCGTTCCATTCAGTTCAGGTGTAATTTCTGGGATTGGTTTCAAGCTGTGTTTACCTTTGGGCTGTCTCCCCCCGAAGCTTCCTTGTCGTTTTCTGACTGTGAATTGTCAGCCATCAAATGTAGGTCAGATGCTATTCCACGACTCATTTTGTACCCTGAAGAGCCTGCGCCGCGGGGGCTCGATGGGCAGGAATTTGCAGCACTGTAGAGCATAAAAAGAAGATCCTACTATTTTGTTATACAGTATATCACCACATTATGTCTCATCAAAAAGCTTTTACTGCAGCAAAGCCACTACCAGAGCTGTGAGGCTGCAGCTAAAGGGCTGTCAGGGCTTCCATTCCAAACCACCTTCCACGCCTTGCTAACCCAGCCATGGAATCACTGCAGGAAGAAACCTTGCTCAGGCTTTCCTCCTCAAGCCAACAAGGATCAGCTGATTGATCAGGCTGTGATGTATTTGTGTAAGATTTGCCACCTTAAGTCCACCTAAACTGTATCAGCAACCACAGATTTTCAGACACTCACTGGAAATGAGATACACATCCTGCATGGAATTTCTGCCATATGCTTGTGTTCAGTCTGCCCCCAAAAAATCATCTCTCCTGTGTAGTGTTTCTGCACATTTGGGAAAATATTGCAAGCAGTGAGATAAAAAAAGGTTTGATTCTCATTTAAATCAAAACCAGTATTATTTTAAGTGTTTACAGGTGTGTGCACATACTTAGACATAGGTATGTGTATAAAAATAATAAAATTATCTATAAATGAGATGCATCAGCACTGACTCAGCTGATTTAATGCAGTATTAGGCCAACAGAGCAGATACACTGTTCAAAAGAGAAGGTGCCAAACACTAAACAAGTATCTCCTAAAACTTCACATTTTGCCATCCATCACAGAAAAACAAATAAAACTGTATATAATTCCACTGGAACATCTTTCTACCAGCAGTCCCCTGCCTTGCAGAGTCCACAGGAACTGCAGCTGCATGATGACAATTTTCTTCTACGATTTCTTTTTAGCCAAGGGGAAAGAAAATCAGCAGGTGAGGTCCATCCCCTTCCCCAAAATAATTTTGGCAGCTCTCTTACAAGGACACACGCTCTCTGTAATTCATACTGCAGGTGATTTCAAGGCAGCCCTCAGAAATTCCAAAGAACTAGAAATCTCAATAGCTGCACCTGCTGTGCCCCCAGAACCAGCCTTAGCTCCAAAAATAATCTTTAATCTTTGAATCTATAGTTCAAAACATCAACAACATATAAATTTAGACAATGTTATTTAGATCTATACACTAAAGCTTTAACTATTTTCATCTGTCAAGGTTTGTTTGTCTGCCTGGGCCCTCAAGTTTTTTCCTACCTCCTTTTTAATGTACAGAAGGAGACAAACACTATAGACTTGGCAATATATATTGAAAGTATGAAAGCTTCACTTCCCAATAAATCCAATGATTTGTTACTATTGATATACTTACTGTAAGAGAGAGATGGCATTTCTTAAGTGCTGTACAGAAGAATCCTTGGCTATAGCCAAAATGTGTAGCTAATTTATTTTTTTTAGATATGGGTCACTCCAGCTCTGTGTTTTCACGTATCAGCTGACAACATCCCTCTGCTCTGCTCACTTCAGCATATATTGACAAAGCGACACATATGGTATAATCAAAGCAAGTTTACAAGTCTTCTACAAAACAGGATGATTTGCAGAGAAACTGTCAGGCTTTGCTCTCAAAATAGATTCAAAACTGTCATCTCTTTTTTTTTTTTTTCTTTTTTTTTCCCTGTAATAAACTGCTCAACAGGTGCATGAAAGCCCTGAAGAGAATTACAAAATTCATAGCAAGGCAAAGACAGTGGTGATAGATGGGATATTATCTGAAATATTTGTGAGCTGCTCTGTCATTGGCAAGATGTGTTTTCTCTGAATTCTTATAAGAAAGCAAACCAGACAAGTCTAGATATCTTTTCTCTCAGCTTCCATCATTTAGGCAGGTGTCATTAAACACTCCCACATAGAGACCAAGAGCTTGGCAAGCATGCAAGAAGTCAATTATGCTTCCATTGAAATCTCATTAACAAGTTGTACCTTTTTAAAAAGCAAGCACAGGCAGTTCTTTGCTCAAGTGAAGACCCAGGAAGTGAGAGGGGACAAAAAAGCTTTCAAAGCCACGTACATGACTGAAACAACTTGCAGTGCCTTGACTTGGAAGTTTTGCTCCTGAAAAATTCCATCCATGAAGTAATTTTACCTGTTTGTGAGGATGGGTTGCTTGTGTTTACTTGTGTTTGGTCACAAGTAACTGGTGGGACAAGGGCTGCAATTACCAAACAAGCAGCAGGGCAAGGAAAAGTCTGTTTTCCATACCAATAATAACCCAAACCATTATTTTTCCTGATGATAAACTTCAGGAGAACAGTGGCAAATCAGGACATTTTAAAATGGTGTAATTTAAAATTGTCTGATTTGAAGAGCTGCAATAAGCATGCAAGCGCAAAAAGCAATTTAAATTGTTGGAATGCAAGAAAAATGCCAGGTTCCTGAGCAGACTATTACACATTGAGCATGTTAAACCAGAGTATCACAGACTGTTCATGCAACTATGTCAGCAGAAAGGAGGTTTCTTGAGGAAGGTAAGGCTGAGCTTCAGCTGAATTTTGACCTCACAAGCAAAATACAGAATGAGAAAGTTGTGCTGAGCCTGATTCTACGTGGCCCTGATCCCACCTGCAGGGTTTAAATACCTGATAGTTCCTGTGGGAGAAGGGAGAGGGCTGATCAGGTGAGCCATGTTGTCTGGAATGTTTATTGTTAAGGGAGAGATCTGGGGTTGCACAGGCTTCACTGGGGACTCGGGGGCCTCCTGTTTTTCTCTCTTTTCATTGGACAGAGCTGTGAATGTTATCTTGATGTTTGTGCTGGGAAACCTGAAAGTACAGCTGAAAAAGAAAAAAACAAACAAACAAACAAATATATGAGCCACTTGTTTACAGAATGTAAGACTTTCTGAATAACTTGCATGTTATCACCTAAGCCCATTTAGAATTTATAAGCTACAGCATTTATGTAATTACCCATGACCATCTTCATTTTACAGATCACACAGGGAGAACAATGTGAGCAGAAAAAGATCCCCAAATAAACAACTGACATTTGTAGAGGAATACAAGGAAATGCAATTCTTTCTAACATGGGCAGTTTTATTGTCCCTAAATTTCTTGAGGTTAATCCTGATCTTGCAGTAGCCCCAAAGCAAAGCTATTTTAAGAACAAAAACTCGTTATTTTATGATGCCAAGGAATGGCTTCAGCAAATGAACAAGCTGGTCCATGATAGCAGAATTGATCAGAAGCATAAAGGTTGGCTAATTTGAGGTCTAACCAGTTTCACAGACTGGTATAAGAGATTTGGGTTCTTTCCTCTTAAAATACCTATTTAACTAAACATACACCAATTCTAATTCTGCTCATTTACAGAGTATACTGCTGCTTTAGTACTACATTCAAATACCTTTTTCAGAGCTGAATTTAAGACCCTATTTCAGTAAACTGCCTATTTTCATGTATTACCAAGGATTACATACCTAAATTTAATGACAAACAATAAATTAACAATGTGGAACTGTTTAAAATTTGAAAAATAAAATACAATGAATGTACCTTAGGATAATCCCCTTTCTACATCCCTGTGCACAGCATTTAGAATTGAACTCAATTAAACAGGACACGCTTGTTTCTAACTTCTCAGTAAATAAATTTGCTCAATCTTGAGCAAATAAGAAACTAAATTTTGTCTCAACAAAAGCATCTATAAAAATACAGTTCAAATAACTTCACTGCCTCCTCATCCTTAAGTTGTTAGACTACACTGAGCACTAAACACAGGATGACATTTACACACCTCCCACATGATGAAAAGGACTTTCCAACGACTCTATACCCAGAAACAAACCTCACAAAATGTTGGGGTTTGGGTTTGTTTTGCTTTTAAGTGCTTCTAGGCAGATCTAGTTTTATACAGAAAGGAAAGAGGCACAGGCTGGAACAAGGGGTAAGAAATGAGCTATGAATGCAAAATACAGACTGTAAATAAAAGTGATCATTTCTCTGGAAAAATATATTAAACATAAAAGTGATGTAAGAATTGGCAGGAACGCTCAGCTGCGGAGTAGCCTTAGAAATGAACTCTCATGTGTTTTGGCTTTCATATCTTAAAATGAATCTAAGGATGTTTATAGAACAAAGGCAGCATTTGATTTTCACCATGTCCCTTGCCACATGCACCACAGTGGTTCTTTTACCCTACAATCCACACTCAAGGATCAGGAAAAAGAGAAAGAATTGACAGTGACCTTCCTTTTTCTCTGTCTTACTTCTGAGTACGGACCGTGTCCGCATTTAACAGACGACCTATTTCTGAAACATGCTCAATGTACTAAATTAGGAACAGAATCTATGCCAAAAAACTGCACAGGCATTTCAGCAAAGGAAGTTAAATGGACCAATTTCTGGGTTGGGTTTTTTTAATATATTCAGTAGCAACTCATTTATTCGCTTTTTCCAGTAGAAAGTATTTTGTGCTTGTGTCTTTTTAGTGACAACAGAAAAGAGTCTTGGTTGTTTTGCTAATAAAATTATTTTCCAAGCATTTCTTTTAAGCAGCAATAAAGAACAACACTCAAGTGTATGCAAAGACAGCCAAAGATTAAGTAAAATTCCCTGTGAAAAAGTGAACAACTCTGTCTGTTTGACACTGACAGAGATGAAAATTTTAGTCACCTTGCCTATGTATTTCATGAGGCTATTCCATACCTGTAAATTTACCTTAAATGATTTTTAGACCAAATTTATTTCAACTCAAGAAAAACATGGGAATAATTTGACATGGCTTTAGGTGCTAATTCCTTGGTTAGAGTCCTTATTGCCTGGTAAAAAGCCACCCCCGTGCACAGCACTGAGGAACCGGAGTCCTCCCGTGGCACACCAGGGTGAGGATGGGGAAGAGGTGCATCTCCACGACTTCAAACACAAGTACCAGGAAGATGGAAAGGCAGAAAAGGAATACTCAGCAGTTCCTTTGATATTCCATATAGGCATACATATATTAAAAGATCTCCCTTCTTACCCTACTGCAGCCCTGAATTCATCACCTCCCCGTGGGCTTCTCTGCAAACAAGGTGGCAGCACAGCCATGGGGCTCTCAAATCTTCAGCAAGGTGGGAAAAAAACACCCCAAAAAGCAGCCCTAATCACAGGAGCTTTCACCAGCCAGGGGGACTCCAGAGTTCTACATAAACCTGTGTCAAACAAACTTGGAACTGACAGACATGAAAACCCAGAGGCATCCCCAGTGCAGTTTACATTTCCCATGCTGAGCCTGAAAGGCCGGTGTAAGTAAAGGAAAATACAATGTACTTACAAATCCCTCTCTGGTTAGAGCAATAAACACCTGAATATTATCAAAAGACCACATCTGTTGATTGATTCATATTTGCAAACAGTTTTTTTAATGGAAGGATATTTTTATAGATGGAATTCAGCCCAAAAGCAGAATAAAGAGTGTATACTAACCAACAGAATTCCTGAATAAATTGCAGTTATGCAAATGTATTATATTTACATCCAAAATCAAAGTACAGAACATGTTCTAATTTGATCAAAATCAAGTTGGTTTTGGCATATTCTTTAGTTATACAATGAACTAAACAAAAACCACAGAAACACCCTCAGGGAGAGACCTCATCAAACATTTAGCCCTCAACAAGCTGAATTGGGTTTTACTCACTGTTCAAAAGTTTACAATAGTTCCACAATACCACAGGATGGCTGCTGGAAGAGAAGCTCATCTAGACAACCCACTTACACAAAACATCCCAAAGAAATAAAGCAGTTTTGTAAATTTATTGATGGCAAGTCCAGGTGAATGTCACAACACAGCCACTGCATAAACCAGGGAACACAGAGAAGGTGTCACAACTAAAATGCAACTCATTACCCCAATTATTCTTCTTTAAATTTAAAAAAAAAGGCTCATTGTGGGTTAACTACTGGAAAACAGACAACAAGCATCACATCATGTCAAACTATTCTGTAGACAACTCTTCTGTATCTGCAGTTCCCAGGCAAACAGCAATGCTGGTCCAGGCAGGACCTCTGCAGTTTAGGAACTTTGCAGGGTGCCAGAGAAGTGTCTCAGGGTAAAAACTGTGCAAAGTCTGGCTTTGTCACATCCGGTTTTCCAATATTTTCTCGCTTCCCCTCAGCAATTCTGTCCATACTGCAGGGAAAAGCTGATGATACATTTGTAGTTCTGCCTGTGTGAAAATACCATCTGACTGGGAAGGAGGAATTTCATCCTGTCTTTATCTGGGAAACCAAAACACAGCAGAAGAATTCAATTTCTTCCCTGTACATAAACCCTGCTGTGACACCCAATGCCTCAATATCCTTTGAATTATTCCAGTTTAATTGCCTTCTAAGAACCAGGACCAAAATCAGACAGAAGCTGCCATGCCACTTTGATCAGCAGCTTCTTTTATCAGCCCCTCCAGATTTTACATTCAAATAGATTATAAGGGTTCAGCAGTGATAACCCCTGAAGTCATGGTAGTAACAACTGCACAGCTCAATTCCTTCACACTGACTGTGATACTGAACCCCTGTTAACTTAAAATCCCCCTGAGATTTAAACAGATCTAAAAGAATAACAAGATGCCTGGGTTTGAACTCTTGTTGATTTACTGAGAACCAAGGACAGCTTCAACTTTTCACATTAAAAAGCCAAGACTCAAAAAAGAACCCAGTCAGCATCTGGGAGACTGCTTGTGTCGATTTTTTTGACTTCAATCACTTTCAAGGTGAACATGGGCAGAGTTAACTCCCAACAAAGACAAGCAGAGGTCATTATCAACATCTGCTCCACCAAAAACAGCTTTTCCACTTCAGTTTTCTCTGACAGCCCAGCAGCCTGAGATGATACTATTTGTACTTCCTTCTGCTATTTTGATCAGTGAACTAAGAAAAAACCATGGAAATCACCATACTTCTAGCTATGGTCTCCTTTCCATGGAAGGGAGATTCGAAACTAATCCATTTTCTAATTCCTCTTCCCTACCTACTTTTGATCTACTTCCCAAACATTCCCCTTGCTCCAGTAAAAATGACTCTCACAACCAATTAATTTATTTATACTCTGGGAGAAGATGTGCACACTGACACTTTATCACCTACAGTGCACACTCCCAGGCCCACTTTTGAAATACCTGTATTTTGAAAGTCAAGCAAAAATTGAGTTTTTACATCTTTCAGACACAATTAAAGAGAAATTGAGTTTGGAAGACACCTCTGAAAGTGTCCAGCCCAATCTCCTGAACAGTTTTCTCATGTGTACAGGTACAAATTCTGCAACTCCCACAGCTGCTTGTGCCCAAACTGTGAGCCTGGTGGCACAGCCTGGCCCCAGGCTTCCTACAGCCACTCGTTAGGCAGGGCAAGGCTGCACTAAGATCCACTCTTGGGATTCTCCAGGAAAAAAAATTAATTTAAATCAAGGTCCTTAAGCCTCTCCCTTTGCCCTGAGCATTCCAGCAGCAAATCCATTCAAGCAAGTGCCCACTGGAACGTGGTGCTTGGAAATCACAATTTGATTGACTTCCTGCTAATGGGTAAATTTCACTTTGAAAGCACAAGGACCCCAATTTCATCTTTTCTCCATTTGCTGCTTCATTTATTATTGATTCCATCACAATGGATTAATAGGATATTAATTATAGATTAAACAATATGTGGCTGTGGTTTTAAAATGGTTTTTAAATAAGCAAGACTTAAAAGATGAGTCTTAAAAAGTACAACTAGAAATAACATGGAACTGAAAAAAGCTCAACAAATTGAAGTATGATTACATATTTCAGTGTCTGAATTTTCTACCAAAAGGTTTCTGA